ATATACACACACACACATACACCTGCTGAGGCTGTTCTGAGAAGAAAGAAAAAAATCTGAAAACTTGCTGAAGCTGGAGGCAGAACTCTTCCTCTTGATGAAGACGAGGGGCGATCACTTCCTGTCCAAACAGGTCAGAGACCTTCAGCAAAACGTTTGACAGAATTAAAACAAAACGTCTGAATCTTCTCAGATCTGGTAACAAACGTCTCAAACTGCTGCAACGTTTAGATGAACAAATTAATTCTTTTTTATTTTACTTAGTAAAGTTTCTCCACAGACACAAATGAGGTTAAAAATGAAAGTGATTTAAGGTGAAAACATCAACGGTGGTTAGGTCAGACAGGGTTCAGGGTTTGAATCCCAGGGCCAGAGACAAAATAAGAGGTAGATGTTGGGATTCGGAGTTTTAACGTTCAGAACAATAATCTGCTTCAGCAGCAGTCTGAATACTCCTCAAATATAGGATCAAGATATTCTCCATCGCATGGCCCACGGGCCAAACGTGGCCCACGGCAGCTTTGTGTGTGGCCTGCTGGAGCTTCAAAGATGTAATGTCTTAAAGTGCCTGTGACGAGTGTATGAAGGACAAGAAGTCAAAGAAAATAAGAAACTTGGCATTACACACATGATTTGACCAGTTATGTCACATAATTGCCATATTTTTTTTGAAGTTGCCTCAACTAAAGTGAAACAGGAAGTGACATCAAAGGGGAACTCTGAGGAAAAAAACTCAGTTTTTTGTTTCTTTAAACAATATTATTTAAGGTATGACTCGTTCTCATCTCTCTATGACAGTGATTTAAATAATTTAAAGTGTATCTTACCCCCCACCCCCCCCCACCTCCGTGAAAAGATAACTCCGCCCTGAGGCGAAATTTGAAAAATGCATCAAAGTGGGTGGGGAGGGGGGGGTTAGAGAGCGGAGGTGTGGCCAGGACGAGAGAACGTGACAGGCAGCTAGCATTAGCATAATTGATGCTACAGAGTGACCACAGTATCGCAGATAGTTACATCTCTGAACGTCTGAGGTGGAGGATTTTCACCCCACACCAGCCTCAGACAGAGGAGGAGGAGCGCTCCGACAGCCTGACAGAAAAAAATAAAAGCACATAGCTGCTCATGATCGCTAGTTTGAATCAGGAAAAAAAGTGTTGGGTCTTGTTTGACTGAAGTTCGGTCCGGTTCGCATCGCATACATTTCAACCTCTTTGGACC